AGAGGAGCTGAGGCCCCCCAACAGCAGCAGCATTAACTTGTCCACCATGTGAGTGGATGACCTTTTGAGCAGATCCCCCAGCTAGATGATGGTAGCCCTAACCAAACTCTTGGCTGAAGCCTCATGGCAGACTCACGAACCACCCAGCCAAAGCACTCCTGAATCTCTGACCCACAGTGCCCACCTCCAAGATGTCCACAGCCTACTCTCTGGAAACTGTGACTTTGTCACCTCATGTAGCAAAAACAACTTTGCAGATATGATTAAGAATCTTAAAATAGGAAAATTGTCCTGGATTATCTGGGTGGGCCCAGTGCCTGGAGCCTGAACTCTATCCTGCCTGGGCTCTAAACCTTTTTGTTGGGGAGGGGGAGGAGAGCTCTAAACCTTTTGCAATCTTTTGAAATGGTAGCTACTGTAGGAGGGGTGATTCTTAATTATGGAGCCACTCAGGCGCCCCATCACTAATCTTTCAATGTATGGTATCCTTAAGAATTTCCTCAGATTGTGGAGACATTTCAAAGCATTCTTTGTTTTTAGGAAACAAAATTAATTAAGGAGCTTACACTGAGAGGCATTCCCTAGGCTGTGAGGATTCAGCCTGCCCTTGATAATTTCCTTTCCTCTAGAGAAATGGGTGCTTGTGGATGACGTACAGAAACTATTTTTTGGGATGCCTGGGTGGCTCAGTTGGTTGAGCGACTGCCTTCAGCTCAGGTCATGATCCTGGAGTTCCGGGATCGAGTCCCGCATTGGGCTCCCTGCTTGGCAGGGAGCCTGCTTCTCCCTCTGACCCTCCTCCCTCTCATGCTCTCTCTCAAATAAATAAATAAAATCTTAAAAAAAAAAAAAAAGAAACTATTTTTTATTCTATTTTGTAGAGTATTAAAAATTATTCAATGCTTGGAAATGAAGCAGGAGATAACTTTGTGTTTTCAATGTTCTAAGAAGCATTGTGGAGCAGGCCCACCCCAAAAGTACTGATTCTCTAGTGGTAGTGTGCTTTTGTTGGACTTATCACTGGCTCTTGATCCGGGCTCAGGTTCTGTAAACGTGGATGCTCTTTTGGATTGGTCGATTGCAAATGCTTTTTGGAAACGAAAGATTGAAGGGATTTCTTGTCTAGTAGAAAGAATAGCTTCAAAGTTTATAGCTTATGGTCCTGTAGGTTGGGTGACCAACTGTTCCCATTTACCTGGGGACGGAGGGACTTCCCAGGACAAAGAACTTTTAGTGCTAAAACCAGGACTGTCCTGGACAAACCAGGGCTATTGTTCATCTGACACGCAAGACATTAGCTAGTTTGGGAGCTGACTTGACCATCTTCTTTTGATGTGTTGTCTTCCATTGGCTGGAAATACTTTGGTCTCTCCCATAGGCCTCTGAACCAGTTTTCTCATACTGCTGTTCTGCCATTAGTAATAAACAATCCAAATTAATAAATAAAACTAAATAAATAAAAAGGGATAAATAAATCTTTGACATACACTTTATATTTGTGTAAGAGTCATGCTTGTTAGGGGTGCCTGGCTGGCTCCGTCCATGGAGCCTGCGACTCTTGATCTCAGGGTTGTAGGTTCAAGCCCCACCCTGGGTATAGAGATTACTTAAAAATAAAACTTAAGGGGTGCCTGGGTGGCTCAGCTGGTTGAGCATCTGCCTTCGGCTCAGGTCATGATCTCAGGGTCCTGGGATCGAACCCTGCATCGGGTTCTCTGCTCGGCGTGGAGTCTGCTTCTCCCACTTCCTCTCCCTCTGTGATCTCTCTTGCTCTCTTTCAAATAAATAATAAATAAATAATAATAATAATAAATAATAACTAAAATAAATAAATAAAATAAAAATAAGACTTAAAAAAAAGTCATGGTTTTTAACCATTTTAAATGAGCACTTCGACCAGATAAGGGGTTTCTTTGGTGAGGGGCAGTGGAGTGATACTGAGGAGAGCAGGCCCTGGGGAGGCTACTGGAAAAGCTGTTTCTATTTTTCATCCCTTTAATGCCCTCTCTCTTGAGCCTATAGATACGCTTAAGTCTCTTTCTTCTAGAAAAACCATCCCCCCTTCCTCCCTGCAATGGTCCTGGCTCCTACTCTTCTTACCCAAGAGTGCAGTCTGGCTCCTTCCTAGCAAGAAGGAATCATCATCCTCTCATGACCTAGTTAAGGTCACTTTTACAGTTTCCAATCTTGGATTTACTTACTTCTCTGTAATAAAAAATGTAACCAAAAAAATCTATAGCACCAATATCTGATAGTCATTGGGGACCTGATGTTCTTTGAGTGTTCTTCGGTGAGCATTTGACATTCTGTTCCGCAAGCTCTCGGCCACCTGGCCACTTAGAGATCACCTGCTCCTTCTTGGTTGATGGAACTAAATACCTCCTTAATATCACTCAAGTCCACGCCTTGTCGTCCCCCATGCCAAGGCCTCAACGTGGGCCAGCTCTCCTTCCAAGACATTCTAGAATGTTATTTCTATCACTTCCATTTAAAGCCATCTCTGGTGGCTCTGCATGACCTGTAGTCATAAACCCAGCATGCACCCCAATATACAAATACGGTTGACCCTTGAACATGGGTCTGAACTGTGCAGGTCCACTTACATGTGGATGTTTTTCAGTAAATACAGTACATCATTGTAAATGTATTTTCTCTTCCTTATGACTTTGTTAATAACATTTCTTTTCTTTCACTTACTTTATTGTAAGAATACAGAATGCAATATGCATAACATACAAAACATGCGTTAATTGACTGTTATGTTACCCTTAAGGCTTCCAGTCAACAGTAGGCTATTAGTAGTTAAGTGCTAGGGGAGTCAAAAGTTATACGCAGATTTTCAACTGGGCAGGGACTTGGTAGTCCTAACACCTACGTCATTCAAGGGCCAACTGTATTTATTTGTAAATTTATTTATTTATAAATGTATTTATAAATTTGTTTCTAAATTATATCTGTATACCATTGTACTAACACGTTACTTATATTATAAATCACGTACAGAGAAAGAAATTCCCAAAAAGGTAACATTTACACATTAAAGCTCTACTATGTCCTTCCTATCCTGCAGTGGAGGTTGTATGCCCTTGCTTGGAACCCACAGACCCGTAGCAATAAGCCCAAGTCCATGTGGCTGACTTTCAAGGCGGGTCATGATCTGGTCCCTGCCCCTCTCTTCCCTTTACTTCTTCCCTGTTCCTAGTGCTGGTCCAAGTGGAAGGATTGGAATCTGAAGCTCCCCAAGCCTGCCTGCTTTCTATTTGCTGCCCCCTCCCACCTTTGTTTAGAAGGCTACCCCTTGTCTTTGCTCCCCAAGCCCCAAACCCCTTTGTCTTATTTATTCCTAAAAGCACTCCTTCCTCTGGGAAGCTGTGTTTTGGAGGCTTGGGCCACCCTCCATACCCCATGTACACCCACGCACAGCTTTTCCTTTGCAATATCATACAGTATTTCCCTCTCTGCCTCTTAGAGCTGTGAGCTTTCAAAGACAGTCCCAGGGGCGCCTGAGTGACTCAGTCAGTTAAGGGACAGACTCTTGATTTCAGTTCAGGTCATGATCTCAGGGTCATGAGACTGAGCCCTATGCAGGGCTCCGTGCTCAGTGGGGAGTCTGCTTGAGATTCTTTCCCTCTGCCCCTCTCCCTGCTCGTGTGCGCACGTGTGCGTGCATGCATGCTCTCTCTCTCTCAAATAAATAAATCTTAAAAAGGAAAAAGTCTCATTCACCAGGAGTCCACAGTGCCTGATAAACAGTAACAGTGACAGCAATAACAGCTAATACTTTTATAGCATTAATATATCCTACAACCTCTTCAAGTGTTTTATACATATTTACTTGATTTAATCCTAGGAGATGCATACAGATCCCTATTCTGTAAACAAGGACACCTGGGCACAGAGAAGTTGAGAAACTTCCTAACGTCACTTACATAGTATGCAAAGTTCAAGGAATATTGAACTAAACTGAACTGTGTGCTTTCTATCACACCTGTGATGAGAGAAACAGTCACCCAGGCCCAGGTGAGCAGGAAACGCTCAGGCTGAGGAAAGGGAAGATGGCGCAGTCGTTCCAGCCTGAGCCTGCGCTGCCCCCTGCTGGCCATCTCTGCCCTCGCTGCAGACTTAACCCCATCAGAAGTCCCCTCTGCCACCTGAGCTTGAGCCTGGAGTCTGGCGCCCAGCACAGGAAATTCTAAGAGGGAGAAGGAGCCAGGAGATCATGCAGGGAATATGCAGGGATTGCCCGTGGATCCACACACCTTAAGGACTGTCTCCCTTGGCTGGCTGCATGAAACCACTCAGAGTAAAGAACAGAATTGGGAAAGTAAACCCATCTGCCCCCAAACTGCCATAGAATGTACCCAAAACCAACAGGAATGTTTACTTTTTAAGTAAAAACTTAGGTGAGTATTTGGATTAGTCTCACATTAGGCTCTCCTTTAGGATGGAAAACTGAATGCTAATTTATATTAATAAATTAGTTCTCAAATGGGATGCCTCATGGAACTATTAAAAAATGCAGATGCGCAGGCTTCGCTGCGAGCCTGCTAAGTCAGAAGAGGCTGTGTATACTTCTTCTCCTCAGGGCTGGCCTCTCGCTACATTTTCCCAAACCCACAAATCTCTAAGACCATTTAGCACCTCCCTTTCCCAGTTTAAGTGAAGGCAATGCCCTTCCATTTGTGCCTCCGGAGAAAATTACATTATTTCACAACTCTAAATTGTAATCGATGGCAATACAAAAAAAAATTCGACTATAGACATGGAAATTCTATCTTGTCTGATAAAGGTGCAACTGATTTTCCTTTCCCTCGTTGCAAGTAATCAGTTTTGCCTCCTTCGTACACTCATTTCATTATTCCTGGCCTATCCTGGGTGTGTTCTTCAGATTTTCTTTTGCACTTATTGCAACATCTGCCTGATTCCCTCAGTGATTACTGAGTTAAACAAAATGTTTAGCATGTGTCCGTTTTATATCTGAATAAGAGTTGTGATCTTACCTTTTCGGAAAATTTTTCTTTAATACACCAATGGCGAGTACTTTCCTTTTCCATTTTTGGCCGTCTTCTACTGGTGCTCTTTGCTTTGGTTGAACATTCGGGGGTTTCCTCAGAAAAGGGCTCCTGCCCTTGTAACCATCCACCATATGCATAATGTCTGTCCAAGGGTTCCTGGAAGAAGGCAGAATAACCAGAAGATTTTATACTTCTAACTAAGTGTAAAGAAAGGTCAGAACATTGGTTCCGAATCTTTTCTACAAAACTGAAAAGAACACACACGAAACTAAAATTAAATAAACCCATCAGTTTTTCATTGGGCTCTAACTTAGCTACCTTACTTACTCCTTCCTTACTTGTATAGTTGATTGATTTATAAAAAGTTATACATAGCTGGAAACTTTTATTTTTAATGCATCTTATGCCATCTTGTACCTTATGCAAGACGTTATGGAACATACAAGGTCCCTGTCAACCTTCTCAGAACACAGATTCATCTATAAGAACTAATGTTATTTATCCAACAATTAGTTATTGAGCACCTTCTATGTGCCATGCATAATGGCAAAAACATTGTTCCAGGGAGTTGACAGGCTAGAGAGACAAACAATACAAATAAATGTTAATTTTCAAATATTGGGACCAACAGATAAACTGCATGTTTTGAACCAAAATTGCAGTAAATTTGCGATTCAAAAAAGTTCCCTCGTCAGAGAAAGGAGAGGCCAAGATGAGCTAGAGTCATGGAAGCTACAATAGTTATCTTTTGCTGAGTAACAAATCCAATCCCTCTCCACACTCCCATCCCCCCACTCCCCGCCAACTCAGAGGCGTAAGACAACCATTTACTATGCTCATGGATTCTGTGGGTCAGGAATTTGGAACGGCCCGGTGGAGATGACTGGTCTCTCCTTCACAACAGTAGGAACTGAGCAGGAAATCCAAAGACTGGAGGTGATTCAGAGGCTAGGGTTGGAATCAACTGAGCGCTCATTCACCAACCTCTGGCGGGTGACATGGGCTGTCAGCTGGGACTGCAGCTGGGGCTAACAGCCAGAACACCCACACATGGCTTTTTCATGTACCCTGGGATTCCTCACATTACTGTGACTGTGGTCCAAGAGGGAACATTCTCAAAGAGCCAGGGGAAAGCTGCATGGCTTTTTATGACAGGCCCTAGAAGCCATTTTGTCCCTTTTGGCACATTCTATTCAGGGCTAGCTTCACAAGACGTGACCTGTGCAGTCACTCAGGACTCCACGCTTAAAGCAGCCCTACACTTGGTTTAACGCTCTGCTGTCACCATATTGAAATTCCTAATAACATTTACACAAAGGGCCCCATATTTTTATTTTGCACTGGACCCCACAAATTATGTAGCCAGCCCTGAATCTCTTCATCCAGGCAATCTCAAAGGACTGCCTAGGCTCCCAGGGTGGGGATACAGACTTTCCATCTTGATGGGGCAGTGGCATGGTTCTGGAAGAGTATGTGGGACTGGAAATATTGTTGGGACCTTTTTTAGAAAAGGCAATCTGCCATAGACAGTTTATGGAGAAGTTAAGGAAAGACTTTCCTCCACAGCCTCCCACAAAGATATATCCAGGTCATCCTTGTTCCACAAAGCATCCTAAATGGAGTAAAAAAGCAGTATGTATCTGTCCATCCTTCCATTCAGCAAATACTGACTGAGCACAGAATGGGGAGTGTTTACAGATGACTCTTAGAGACCCTGCCTTCAGTTGACTTGGTATTCAGAGTGATGGGGTCTGTGAAGGGAAAAGAGAAAACAAAGGGTGAAGCACTGTTAAAAAAGAGAAAACAATTGGGCACCTGGGTGGTTCAGTCGGTTAAGTGTCTGCCTTCAGCTCAGGTCATGATCCAGGGGTTCTGTGATCGAGCCCCACATCAGGCTCCTTGCTCAGTGGGGAGCCTGCTTCTCCCTCTCCCTTTGCAGCTCCCCCTGCTTGTGTGTGCTCTCCCTCTCTCTGTCAAATAAATAAATAAAATCTTAAAAAAAAAAAAAAAAAGCCCAAAATGGAGCCATTGGCCTCTCCCAACAGAAAACCAGTAAGTAGTGGATCAAGGTAAAGATACAAAACAAAACAAAAACAAGGGACACAAAAAGGTGGGGTGGTAAGGGTGTTGGTTTATTCAAAAAGAGTGTTCCAGGGGCCCAGAGGGAAGATCTGAGAGAGGCAGCACTTTGCGACCTCACTAACCATACCGTGTCTGCCTCCTGGATGGCCACAGCTGTCCCAGGCTCAGAACAAGGTGCTGCTCACATAAGTATTTGTGGGAGGCCCTAGGATTTGGCCCACAGTGCTTCTGCAGGATGACGTCTGGCAGGTAGGTCTGGTGACTTCACCCTTCTGGATTTCCTCCTACCTCACTCACCACTTCTTAATCCTTTAGCTCTAAAGGTCAGATTTCCCTGGGCCTCTGCCCAACGTCTTCCTCAGCTTTCTAACTTCCTCCCTCCTTAGGGGGAGCCCTTTTATTCCCACAGAGCATCTCTGCGCCCCACCCCCACTCATTCATCTATCCCTTTGCAACTGGACATCTATCTACACTTGGATGAATCATAGCCACCTCAAATTTAGCATGTCCAAAATAGAACTCTCCACTTTTCCCCACACCCCGTTCCCTCCAGTCTTCCTATTTCAGTAAGCGGTTGCCTCCACCACCCTCACTCCCCCACATCCAAACCATCCTTTAAGTTCTGCCTCCAAACCACAACCCGGATCCACCCACTTCTCACCAGCAACTGAGCCACTATCTCCCCTCACTCGGGTTGCTTTGGCAACTTCCTAATTTATCTCTTGCCTCTACCCTTGGCTGCTTGTCATTCACCCTCTACACAAAAGCCAGAGTGGTTTTTTCAAACCATAAATCACCGGCGCCTGGGTGGCTCAGTCGGTTAAGCGTCTGACTCTTGATTTCCGCTCAGGTCAGGATCTCAGGGTTATGAGATCAAGCCCCTTCGGGCTCCATGCTGGGTGTGGAGCCTCTTAAGACTCTCTCTCTCAAAAAAATAAATAAATAAATGAAAAGTAATAATAAAAAAAATAAAACCGTAAATCAGAGTAGCTCGCGCTCTTGCTCAAAATCCTTCAATGTTTTCCCATTACTTTCAGAATGAAAACAACTCTTCACGATGGACACCCTACGCCACCTGCCTGCTCCACCTCACAGTCTCATCCTATCCCCACTCATTCCCCTGGAACTTTGTTTCAGCTCTCTGCATTACCCAGCTTCTCTTTCCAGAACATTCTCTCAGCTATCCCCAAAGCTGCCTTCCAGGACTCAATTCAAAGGTCCCTTCTCAGATCTGCAGAAAGAAACCTGCCCTCCTCAATTTTAGACATTGTCTCTTTCTTCGTTTAGTGCCCTTTCTCTCTTCCCACACACGCCAAAAGGGAAACGCCACGCAATGAGAGTTCACCACTGTACCTCCAAGGCCTGCTAGGGTAGGTGCTCACGTATATTTCTCTAAAGGATGAATTAACAGACGGCAGTTTTAGGTTTTTAAATATCCTTACTTGGCAAAAGGAAAAGATGCCTATTCTGTGTGGTTAGTCATTTTTAAAATAAAGTTGGTAAGTCCAGGGCCGTTGCAGATGAACTGGCCTCAAGCCCCCTGAACAACACAGTTGTAAAGGAGAGCGGGAGACCGAGGAAGCGAGGGCGGGCCAGTGGAGGGGGAGACGACTGGGCGGCTGGAGGGGCAGGAAAAATGGTTGGGCGACTGGATGAGCACGCGACGGGAATGCACACCCGAGGGGCTGGTGAAGTCCCGAGCTCGCTTCCCTATGCCACCCACCTTCCAGGGTCACGGAAAGGACGTTCCAGGGAAGACTAGGCGCGGCGGGCGGGCGGCTGTGCGCTCCGCCGGGCGCAGAGCAGCGAACCACTCGCTTCCCCAGCCCCCAGCCCCGCACACGCTCCCCGCGCGCCTGCACGCCGGCCACGCACAGCCGCGCCCCCTGCCGCCGCGCGCGCTCAGGTGAGCGCTCTCCGAGCCCGCCGTGCGGCTAGCGCGCGTGCGCGCAGGTGAGCGCCCGCCCCCGCCCCCGCCCCCGCCCCCGGGCTTGGCCACCTGCCCGCGAAACTTGTGGATTGTTGCCCTCGGGTCGCTCCGGGGCGTGGACACGGAAACGGGCCATGGAAGGTACGTCGGGGGCTCGCGAGCCCCGGGCCCGGCCGAGAGAGCGGGACCTAGACCGGCACCCCCGCCCGGACCGAGACCGCCATCCCGAGCGACAGCGGGACCGACCGGGGGACCGGCGGAGGGAGAGAAACGGCGGCGAGCGGAGGGACGGGGACCGGGACAGGCGGAGGGACCGAGGCCCTCGCCAGGACAGACACCGGGTCGGGGACCTTCGCGCCGGTGAACAAAGAGTTTGGGAAAAGTCCCACCAAAGCCGGACGCGGGACGGACCCCGGAGGCCGACCTGGGACGCAGCCCCGCCCCCCTGGCCCGCGCCTTGGGAAACCCCGGAGCCGCCGATCCAGAGGAAGGAGCGCTTCGCACCCGGTGGCCCGGCAAGGTGAGGTGGGGCTGCGGGGCGCCCTGCGACCTGGGCACCCGGAAAGCCTGGGTCTGAGACCCCCCCCCCGGAGGTGCACCGGCGCCCCAGGCTCCGTGGCCTAGGAAGCCGGCTTCAAGGAAGAAAGTGCCATTCCCCCCTTCTGCGCTCTTAGGGGTGACCTGGGAGGGAAGGAAAACCTTACGGTGCCCCCACTTCTTGATCCGAACCCCGATTAACAAAGCAGACACCACCCGTTAGCAGTGGCAGGGCCGGACCAAGGAAGGAAGGAGAGAGAACTTCAGGACCGGAAAGGGAAGGGGTGGGAAGGAGTTTAGGGAGGTGGGGTTAACCTGAGGCTCCTCCCTGACCTCCCCCGACCCAACCCCAACGTGCCCACAGGACTGCTCCGTGAGGCTTCAGATTCTTGTCCTGTGTTCCAAAACCGACCTTCCAAAGTCTCGTCAGGACCTGATAAGGTCAGCCCAATGAAGGGTTAATAGTTTAATCTGGCCTAGGGGTATATGCATTTCAAAACAGACAGCTGGGAGAAGCTACACTTTTAACCAAACAACTACATCTACCTAAAACTCCCCCACTGAAGGGCAGAGATTGCCTACCGCTGTCACTAAAGTCTTTCTGGAGAGCCTCATTCAAATCCCCTCATTGTTTCAGATCCCACCTCCCTGAATGAACCAACTGTGCTGTCCCTGCCTTGTAGAGCACAGAGAATTCCCCTAAGGCCTTGTGAGGTGAAAGCCTCATGCTGTTCTGGAAGGCTTAGGGAGCTAGGAGAGGGTAGGGATGGAAAGGAGGAGAGGAGGCAGTCGGTCCTAGACTCCACATCCCCGTCGGGAGTTGGTCTTTTTTCCATTCCATCGAGCTCCACAAATACTCCTGAATGACCAGATTATGTGCCAGGCCAACAAGGAGACAGGTACTGGGGTGATGACTGCCTTCTGGTTTGGGACACCTGCCCTCTTCTCTAAGGAAATGTCAGGCTCCTCTCTGCTGTAGGATTTGGAGGCTTAAGCTCAGTCTCCTTCTCTGTTGTGTCCACACAGCTGGAAAGCTGTTATCCTGAGCTTATGTTCCATTATCTAAAACCAACTAGCCAAACTCTGACAAAGGTTGTGCCCAGATACAGGCACGAGCTGTTGTGTGTCCCTGACTAAAGCCAAATTGCATTAGTATCTCCTGAGCTGCATTTTGGGTTTCCTTATAAGCCAGTGTCCTGGTCCCCCCCCCACCCCCAGCCCCAAGGTGAGTGAAGGGAATACTTTTGATTTTTTGGCTCATAGCCAGTTGGTGGTTTGAAACCAAAGGACAATTTATTTCCACCTTTCCTCCACACAATAAGCTTTTATTTAATGGGCAGGATGGAGGGAGCCAGGGCTCTTACTTGATGGGTGAGATCTACTGACCGTGTCCACAATCTGGTAGGGGACTGACAGGTAAACGTGCATGGGAAACAGATTTGGAGAGAACAGATCCCCTGCCTGAGATCTGGAAGATTTCCTGGAGGATACTAACCTCAAAGCTGAGTTCTGGAAAAGGAGCAAGAATGAGGGCACCTGAGTGGCATCTACCTTGGCTCAGATCATGATCCCAGGTTCCTGGGATAGAGTCCCACCACAGGCTTCCTGCTCAGAGGGGAGCCTGCTTCTCCCTCTCCCTTTGCCCCTCCCCTGCCAGTGCTCTCTCACAAATAAAATCAAAAAAAGAAAAGGAGCAAGAATGGGAAGACTGGGAGAGGAAATGAAAGGGGTTCCAAGCGGAGAAATAGCTTCCCCAGTGACCTAGAGCATGGGAGTGCAGGTCATCTTTTTGGGGGGCAGGGGGAGAGGAGCAGTTCACTATGGCTGGGTCTATTGAGTGTGAGGTTGTGAGTGACGAGAGATGAGCAAGGGCCTTCTGTGCTATGCTAAGTTTGGACTATATCCAAGGCCATGAGAGTTTAAGGATTTCAATCTCACTATGGATTTCCATAGTGAGAACACTGGAAGGATCCCTGGCGCCCAGCAGGTAGAATGCAGCCCCCACCATTGCATCCTGGACAAAGGTCAGGATATGCTGGATAAAGGGGAGGAAGGAAGGAAACTAGCAGAGAAGTAGAGATAGGAAGACATCCAAAGTTATCTGTATTACCCGTATGCCTAGAGGATTATTGCTGATTCAGCCCTTTTCAAAGTAATAAGAAGGAAGAGAATACCAGCCTGGGCATCAGACTCTTATGCATGTAAACTAGCTTTAAAGAAGGCCCTGTCCGTGCTGAACTGAAAAGTTAGGCTCACAAAGGTGGCTCCCGGCTACCTGGTTAGGTAGCTCCCGCAGCTGGGCAAACCAGCATCCAATCAGCGCTCAGAATTACAGGGATATGCAGCATGGTGCCTTAGCAGTGTTGGGCCAAGTGTTTGGATAGCCTGTGGGGCCATTACACCAGAGAATTCTCTGGAATATGAAATGCAGCAGCAAAATTTGTTTCTGTTCTGCACGTCTCTTTAATGACAGCATGAGATGTTCAGGGTTCTAATACTGAACAGGGCATTGAGTTTGAAGACCCTAATGGCCATGTATGTTTTCAGTTATAGTGAACCCACTTCAGGGAGATACCTGCCCTCGAACCCCAGGTCTGGCCTAGAGGAAGTGGAATATTACCAGTCAGAGGCTGAAGGACTCCTGGAATGCCATAAATGCAAATACTTGTGCACTGGAAGAGGTGAGCCATTTGGGAGGCATTTTGACCATTTATGTTTGCTGATGGTTCTGGAAGGGGTCTGAGCTAGTGAAGCAAAGATTCAAGCAGACTTTCCTTTAGGATTCCTAGCATTTTCATTTATAAAACTGCATGAGGTTCTCATTCTACCCCCCCCCCCCAAAATTGTAGGCACATCTGAAAGGTACACCTAGATTTCCAGTGCTTGTCTTCAAATATCTGCTGAGGCGAGCAGCCATGTTTGCGGGTTTCAGGTTCCAGGTGGGACTGCAGGGAGAACCAGTTATGAGCTGCCGGCTGTGGGAGGGCTGAGTTAGACACAGAAAGCCACCTGGAGGGGCACCCTGGTAGCAGTTCATGCAACAGCATGTCTTAAAATTTGTGGACTGAGATCCACAGTAAGAAATATACCTTGCATGAAGACCCAAGTTCACACACATACACATGTTCTGAAACGGTACTTACCTTATTAGATACCAGCTACGTGGGTAATTTCTATTCCACCCTGTTTCATTGAGAACAAACAAAAACAAAAAAACACAGTTATTGGAACGAGCACGGTTTGCAAAACACATAAATAATATCATGTGTCAGCTCCAAATGTGGTGCCCAGAGTTCCCATCCAAGCATTCGTCTTGGCCTTGCCAGCAATGAAGAAAATCTGGTTTGCCAGGGTGAGCCCTTGGGGCTCATGTGATTTGGTGAGAGATTTTTTCGAGGCTGCATATGACTAAGGGAGGAAACTTCTCAGCCTGAGGGAGAGAAATCAAGGAACTTGTACCTGAAAATGTATCGTAGGATGACTCCAATAATGCAGGTGATTATGGGATTCTCTGGAACTTCAGTTAAAGAGCTCTAGACAATGCAGGTACAGGAATCTGCACTCTAGTTTACATTTATTGGCACAACCGCATTGCTTCTAATTTGCTCAGTGATTCCTGAAGCTCAGAGAGGTATAGTAAGATACCCCAAGCCACACAGCTGTTAACTTGAGAGAGCTGGAATGGAAACTCAGAGCCTAACTCAAGGCCTGAAATGGTTTACTTGCTTGACCTTTCTTTTTTTTTCCTTGATGATAAAAATAATAGGAGTAAGCCAGAGGCTGGGTTAACAGGTTTCTCAGTAGAAGTATGTTTTCCATTGTGATTATTTTACCAAGAGGAGAGGGCAGGACTTGAGCTTCCTGACCAAAACACACCTCGATTTAGCTTTGACTGCTTCTGGCTATTTGGCTTTGGACCTAGAGATCATTTCTGAGTCAAGGTAGTGAAAGGCTGGTTGAGCAGTCAGAAGCTAACCACGGAGGGCTTATAAAGACCTCTGGATATGCAGAGACCCACATCAGTACACAATACTTGGTGTTGTGTTGAGAGAAATAGCCATTGAACACCTGGAACTTGTCTCCAGCAGCAAATGCAGGCCTGGATAAGGGTCACCCAAAGATTTTCAGCCCTATCTTGAGAGTAGATCTTTTGTGACTTCTTTTCCTTACTGGTGAAATCATGTCCTCTTCCAGCAAACTGGTGGAAGTGGGAGGCAGCTATGGCCCTCACTGACTTCCTAGGGAGACCCCGAAGTTTGGGCAGTAAGTCATGCTTTGCAAGGTCAGTGGAACAGTCTGGACACCGATGGAAAGAGATGGGTCCCAAATTCCCTTACGAGCAAGTCCCCTGAGATATTAAAATCTTTAGGCGCTGAGACTAAAGATCAGATAAAAAGCAAGTACAGCTGTCCCCATGTGCATATCAGGTCACCAGGGGATCCTGTGCTCATTTATTACTTGGGTGAGGAGTTGCAAGATCCCTGGGAGGAGGGCGCATTTCCTGCTCCCCTCCTTGGCTCCCTGCTTTGTTTGGAGCAGTTTCTTTTTTGCCTTTGTTCTTTCTGTCCCTCCTTCAGCTGGGTAATGCTCACATCATGATGTTTGCATTCAGCTTGTAGCCTGAATTACACAGCTCCCCAGCCCTCCTTATTCTTTCCTGGTTCTATTAAAGCTACAACAGGAACAAGGGGGTTGTAGGGGCTCTGCCCTCCCCACACTGTATTAAGAAATATGTGTATGTATATATAATTGTCGCCATACAGCAAGACATTGGGAAAACCCTAAATGTCCTTTACTCTGGAATTATTTAAATTCATTGTGTTATTCTATACATCCTCTAAAAATATGAAGTAGATTTATATTTGCTGAGGTAGAAAAAAAATGTTCATACTATATTCTTAAGTGAAAAAACAGGTTATATAATAGTTATAGAATAGTAGGTAGAGTAGGACCCTGTTCTTCACGTAAAAGCAAATAGCAAAAATGATGTATATATGACAAAAGTCCAGAAGAAAAAATAATGGTCACAGTGGTTGTATTTTTAAATAGTTGGATTTTAGGTAATTATTATATGTTTTTGTCTTTATTTTTTTACCATCAGTATATACTACTTTTATAATTAAAGACAACAATAAGGCTCTCTGCATTTTGGGGGGAACTGAAGAGTGTAAAGACAATACCTGAGAGTATATCGTTCCGTTGGAGAGTGTGTAGGTGTAACACAGCTTCATCCGTAAACCACCCGGGCCCAGGAGGCACAAAATCTGGTTCTCTAAATACCAGGGAGCTGCTGACCGTCTACTCCAAGTCAGCTGACCTAGCGGGACTGTGGCAGCATATACAGTTTCCAGCTCAGAAACACCCAGCTTTGTAGAATCCTGAGAAAAAGAAGCCACACACAAGAGTACTTAATTGTATGATTCCATGTACATGAAATTCTAGAAAGGCCAACCTAATTCCTAATGGTAGAAGGTAGATCAGTGATTGTCTGAGGAGGGTAAGGGATTGATCACAAATGTTCTCTTGGGCACTTTCTGGGCAGATAAAGATGTTCTGTATCTTGACTCTGGTGGCGTGGCATATATGTTTGTCAGAACTCAACAAGCTCTACACTTAACATGGGTCATTTTGTCCCGTATCCATTATATCTCCATGAGGTTGATTTTAAGGAAAGCAGCCCAGTTTGGGCAGAGAAGCTGGAGCTCTTTCCTTGTCCAAGACAGAGAAGCCAAGGGTCCCTGAGAGAACCTAGCCCTGCGACAGTGTCACGGCCCAGATTTGCTCTTTAGGGAAACTAAAGAAAACAAAGTTAAATTGTAAAACAGACTTACTGAGTTGAAATCTAAGAACAATGAAGCCAATTACGTTTCTCTAATCCAGTAAGCCTTGTGGGTTTAATTAATCTTTCCTGTTTCCAATACACATGAACACGGTTAACATTTGGATGTATAACTTCCATACTTGATTGTATTTTTTTAAGCTCTATGTTCTTTCTTTCAAACTTGGAGAAGTTTCCTCTTTCAAACTGAAGCAAGCTGCAAAACATATCTAAGGAGGAGATCACTCTTTCTTAGTCTCTTTGGCAGGGAAGGGCTGGGGCAGAGAACGTTCTCTCCTTCCATATAGGATGCCTTTTTCTGGTTGGGAGCTGGCCTGATTTCTCCCACCGTCTTCCTGCACCCCAGCAGGGGCAGGCTCTCTGGAGAGTTACTCTTTCTAGCTCCGAGTACCTCCGACAGCATTTCCAGAGCCCATCTCATGCCCCTCACATAGCTGGGGCAGCTCGGGCCTCCCGGGGCGCAATACAGAGCCTGCGGTGGTGTGAGCTACCACGGGGAAGAGGAGCACCGAGGCGGAAGTCTCCGAGGACGAAAGAGCAGCTCTCAAAATGGTAACACGCCCTTCTTTTGCAGCCTGCTGCCAGATGCTGGAGGTGCTGCTGAACTTGTTGATCCTGGCCTGCAGCTCTGTGTCTTACAGTTCCACAGGGGGCTACACGGGCATCACCAGCCTGGGGGGCATTTACTACTACCAGTTCGGAGGCGCTTTCAGTGGTTTCGAGGGCGCTGACGGGGAGAAAGCACAGCAGCTGGACGTCCAGTTCTACCAGCTGAAGCTGCCCACGGTCACTGTGGCGATGGCCTACAGCGGAGCCCTCATGGCCTTCTGCTGCCTCCTTGTCGTCCTGGGCGTCCTGCGGGTCCCGTGGCACTGCCCCCCATGGCTGCTGATTGAAGCCTTGTTGGACGCGCTCATTGCGGGGGCCTACGTCCCCGCTCTCTGCTTCTACTTCCGCCACCTCTCGGCTGCCTATGCGTCCCCGGTGTGCAGAGAGAGGGAGGCGCTGTACCAGAGCAAAGGGTACAGCGGCTTCAGCTGCAGTTTCCACGGGGGAGATATAGGAGCTGCCATCTTTGCCGCCCTGAGCGTCGGGCTCTTTGCCCTGGGGGCTGTGCTGGCCATCCGGGGTTACCGGAAGGTCAGGAAGCTCAAAGAGAAGCCTGCAGAGATGTTGGAGTTTTAGGCTTTTTAAGCCGTCCTGCCATATGTGAGCAGTGGAAGTTACTCTGAACCACTGTCTTTCACGGAATACTTTGCCGTGGGCCAACGTCGGTATCCTGGGGGGAGCTCTGGGTTACACCGAGCGGCGTTCTCGGAGGTAATGAGTTCTAGAGTCCTCTGTTGGTGAGCGAGGAGCCAAAATTATTGAAACAGAACAAAACTGGAGGTCAGGACCCACGAGGAGAAGGCACGAGTTGCAGCAATGCACTTTCTTGCACTTTCGATTAGCTCAAGGGAATTAACCAAGTGAGTCTGAAGATCCTTATCTTCAAAGTCCTTGGAAAGCCATATACACTGGAGACAACATTTCGACTTGAGCTTTTCTAAACACAACTGTCTTAAGCAGATGAGCCCCAAAGCTTTTCCACACTGAGGTCTCGGATCCTTCACTTCCTTAATGCTCTGGATGCAGGGTGTAGAGACACCGGGGAGACTCCGCCTGTAAGTTGGAGGTAGGCGTGGGCCAAGCAAAGAGGAATCAGATTCATTCACTGGGTTGCAAAGAAGCTATTCTAACAAGACCCCCACAGTGACCTTGAAAACTCAATAAGTGTTTTGTACCTCTTGTAAATGTACCATTGTATGATGAATTAAACCCAACATCTGGAATTCAGGATCCATCCAGAATAAAAGAATGTAAAATCTTTCCCAATGGAAGAATGCTACTTTTGGCCAGACAACTTCATGGGTTCTTACTGCATGTTAAATTATGACTCCTGGAATATTACAATATATTCTTGATACAAGTGAATATGTTCTTTGCTTTACATGAATCCAGTAAAAGTCCAAAGAAAAATTTTAACTTGGAGGTGATGCTTCTCTTTACAACATATTTTTAACAGGATTCCCTTAAATACAGGCAATTTGTCACATTTAAAAGGTGCGTTTCATTTGGGTTTAGAAAACGAAATAAATGCTTGGCTATGATTAGACGATTTCTTAAAGAATACATAAGAAAGCATGAAGAGTATTTGCTTCCAGAGAGGAGATTTTATTTCCCATTTTAGCATAACTTGACTGCACATCTCAGTTTTTTTTTTTTAGATAAATTAAAAAAATTTATTTTCTCCCCTCTTTGTTCACATTTACAGTGCAAAGGCAGAAGTAGATGTATAATTAAGCGGAGTATTACATGATCAGCCACAAAACCAGCCTCACCCAGAAAGACCCCATTTATAACAAAAATCCCATGTCTGTTTTGGTCTCCACTTCCCTCTCCAGAGCCCTCTGCTCTCTTTCCGGAGACTTGTCCCATCCCACTGTCGAGATAAACTGCTAGCTCTGCCAGTCACCCTTGTTGTCTTCTGAGGGCTGTGAATCTTTCTGCACTAACAGCAAGGTTAGAAACACATGAGCCTGGGAGCGCCTGGGTGGCTCAGTCGGTTAAGTGTCTGCCTTCAGCTCAGGTCATGATCTCAGGGTCCTGGGATCGAGTCCCTGCTCAACGGGGAGTCTGCCTTTCCCTTTGCCCCTCCCCCTGCTTGTGTGTGCTCTCTCTCTCAAAATCTTGGGAAAAAAAAAAAAAAAGGAAATACGTGAGCCTGTTTGATATTAATAGCTAAGCCAGGCCAGGCCTGGCTGGTACTGTGATGATATTCAGTGGCCATATTCCTTCTGCAGACCCAATAGCACTGGACCCGGCAACAGACCATTATTGCTCTCCACTGTCATAGCCAGGGGGTAGTTGACAAGATCTAGATTTATTTCATTTCAGCCTGGCAGATACATGCATGGATCACGACTCCACTGTCCCAGAAGGAAGCATTCAGCTTCCCCCATCTTATAGCAGGGCAGTGTTCCTGTCTCCCTTTGGTGGGTGAGACGTTAACGTGCGTGCGGAAGGAAAACCAAGGCAGAGAAGAGTATTAGATGTGGGGTAAAACTGCTGCCCCTGAATTAGAGTGATGTTTGGGCCAATTCACTTGCACTGCTACAGGGGGCAAGTGGCCAGTCCCTTACAGCGCCTGGGTGGAGAGTGGGCAGTTCTGATCTGATGCTATTTTCAGATTTAAATTAGAGGAATGTAGTTCCTCAACTGTCAGAGCCTTTGGCTGCTGTGTCCCATGGACCTCCTAGGAATTTGTGTGGGCCCAGCAGGAGTTAGGACCAGCAAGCCCAGGAGCTGGTGCCTCAGTCTGTCAGAGAGACTGGTATTTCGCCGCCCCGTTTTTAAACGTTGTGGTACTCCCTAGTGTATTAGCAAGGCTTCCCGATTTCTGGGAATCCACACTTCTCATAATTTGTCCCATTTCTTAAATCTCTCACTAAGCCCCTTCCATTGTCTAAACGTTACCGAGTAGCATCACCATCTGCTTGCATTAACATTTTATGATTTTCGAAATCCTTAGATGTACTTGCTTTCATCGGGGCCCTGTGGAGTAAGGCAGGCCCTACCTTCCTTTGTCAGATGAAGTGTGTGAGGTTTCGCGTCAGTGACGGGGGCAAGATCACCGGCAGCGAAGTGTGGGGACATGAGCCTGGCGTTCCCACTCTAGGTTCATATGCTTTTCTCTTAGTTCTCTGAACCCTGGAGCATGATAGGAGACATTCTTCCAGAAGTATGCCTAAGCAGAGGCCAGGGCCTCTGTCAGTGATGAACGAAAGCTGACCTTGGACAAGAAGATATTCAGTGTCCAGTCACCTCTTGGTTCCTAAAACTCACCAGAAACCCCCAAGTGAGCAGCCCACATGTCTGTCAGCTGAATAGACTGGTCCATCCACACAGTGGCGCCGGAGCCCATGTAACGAAGTCTGTGGACACTGTGGGAGTGGATCTGAAAACACCTCCAGGAATAGTAAATGAACAAGACTCAGAGCAGCATGTGTGGTATGCTTCCTGGTGGAAAAAAAAAAGAGCAGGGAAGGGGGATGAAATGCAGATTTGAGGCTGCTTTTATTTGCATGAAGGAACACTGGAAAGTTATATTAGGAAATAATGAAAGTGGATGGGGGCAGAGCACAGGACGGACGGGGACAGGAGTGATTTTTCTCAGTGTATTCCTTTTTAGGTCATTTTATAGTTTCAAAAAAAACTTTAAAATTTGAAATAATTATAGATCCACGAAATGGTAACAAAACTAGGGCGGAGATCTCGCGCGCCCTCCGTCCCATTTTCCCCCGTGCTCTCGGTGCTCCCATCTTGCGTAACTAGAGCGCGGCACGGTGCGGTCAGCTCACCAGCTCCACTGCACTCACGTCCGGGTGCATGCACGTTCACATCCCCACCACCACGGTCAACTCCAGCACTCTTCCATGCTCCGGCGTCACTAGGGCTCCCGCACGTCTCCCTGTCCACCGACAGCCATGGGTCCTGGCTCACTGTCCGTAATTGTGTCATTTTGAGACTGCTACATAAATGGAATCACACAGTGTATAACCTTTGAGCCTGGCTTTTTTCTGCTTATCGTAATTCCCCTGAGAGCCTTCAAAGCAGTCGCATGTCTCCGCCGCACCTTCCCTTTGACCAATGAGTCGAGTTTCCCGTGGTATAGATGTACTTGACTGCTAACCCCTCCTCGCCTGTGGAAGGATATCTGGGCTTCTGATAATGAGGCTATGACAGATAAAGCTCCTGTGAGCTTTCATGTACACGGTTTTGGGTAGACTTTTAGTTTTTGTTTCTTTAGGATAACTGCTCCAGGAGTGCAGTTGCAGAGATATACAGTTAAGTATAGGTTTCTGGGTTTTGTTTTGTTTTTTTAAGAAACTGACAAAATTTTTTCCAGAGTGGCATTTTGTTTTTCGAACATATATTAAAGAAAAAAAAACCAAACACAAAACTGGGGTGCCTGGCTGGCTCTGTCGGTAGGGTATACAGCTCTTGATCTCAGCATCGTGAGTCCGAGCCCCACATTGGGCATGGAGCCTACTTAAACATCCATCCATCCATCCATCCATCCATCCATCCATCCATCCATCCACACATTTGAAAAACAAAAACCAAGGATGTTAGTGTTGAATCAGACCGTGTCCTTAAAACCAGGGCACCGGTGGAAGTTCTCGAGTCTGACCTCGAGTTTTCCCGGGTGAGTGATGTCAGCGTTAAATCCCACATCTCTCTCCTCCTAGGTGTGGTCCAGATAGTGGAGGTGATACTGAATGGGATGGTTCTCATGTGTGTCGTGGCCTCCTACTTTGTCCTTGCTGGGTTCACTGCGAGCTTTACCAGTGGCGGAGGCTTTGGGAACAACTACTACTCACCATTCGAGGGCACCGAGCTGGAGCAGGTTCGGCAGCTGGACCAGAAGTACACAGTGCTTCGGGCACCCCTGATCTACGGGGGTGTGGCTGTTTCTCTGGGCCTGGGTGTCCTCACTATGAGCGTCTTACTCCAAGGAGCCAAAAGCCTCACGGAACTGTCGGGGAAGTGGCTCCTCTTGGAGGCCGCCTTCAGCCTC